TGTTGAAGGCTGGGGGTGGGGGACGGGGCAGGTTAGAAGGGGTCAGTGGGGAAAATCCAGATACTTTCAACAATATTTAATTTCTTAAAAATAGACAGTGGTGATGGTTGCACAACTCTGGAAGTATACTGACAACCACCGAATTGCACACTTTGAATAAACTGGGTGTGCAAATTCCCTCACTAAAACTTCCCATCGGCCCTCTGCATTCAAAAATTCCCAAATGGGGATCAAAACTACTGTTTTCTAGCTTCAGGGGTTGAATTAGCAGATCATGGGTGAGGAGGCCAGTGGTATGCATCGTTCCACACCATCTATAATAAAAGCATAATATGCTAATTAGACCTGACAGCCAAACAACCTTCTGGACGTCATTCTGGACATCCTTCCGGATGAGGCCATGGTGGCAGGAGCCAAGGCAGAGGTAGTTAGGGGCGATCAGGCGGGCAGGCAAGCAGTTAGGGGTGATCAGGCAGGCAGGCAGGCCAGCAGTTAGGAGCCAGCAGTCCTGGATTGTGAGAGGGATGTCCTACTGCCGGTTTAGGCCCATTGGACATCCCCCGAAAGGTCCTGCATTGTGAGAGGGTGTAGGCTGGGCTGAGGGACACTCCCTCCACCCACCCCCCGCACCACATGAATTTCATGTATCGGGCCACTCCTATACATATAGAATTCCTAATAGAGTGCCTGACTCATTGCATGGCAGATATCATAATAAACTATCATAGTTAAGTTAAAAATAATAATTATGTGGGTTATTCAATGTAAAAAGAAAATATATGTAAACAATTAAATGAAAAAGCATAAAATTACCATATTTGTACACTGATAAGAAAAAAATGTACATTGATAAGGATGGGAAATATATTGAGAATGGCTGAGATTTTCCCATGTACTTCATTGATGCCCACCAAAAAAATGGGCCCAAATTGGAGTGATTTAAAATGAATATAAAAAGAACATTAGGATTACAAATGATGAGGAACTCTACAAGAGAAAGCATTAAAACATTTTTCTTTAGAGGCTAAGAAGACAATTACTTTGGTTTCTCATTTCCCTGATGACAATGGTCAAAGGCAATTTAAATTTGGCTGTGATAGGTGCTCTTTGCCTCAAGGAATCTTCCTTTCTAATTGTGTTTGTTTAGGCTAATAGAAAACGAATTTGCATTCCTTGAACTCCTACCAATTGAAAGTGATGACTCAGAAGAATGCTTAACAGTTGGGGAAAATCCCTTTGGCATTTAAAAGGCGCTAGGAATAATCCAAAAAGTAAATAACCCGCTGTAGAGTTAACTGTACAGGAATTCGAAAATCTCCCACATCTCTTGCGTCATCTCTCTAGTAAAAATACCCATAACATTGCAGCCATCGATCCAATGTGTGAGATTGGGGAGTAGCTGGGACCATTTATGGTACTTCACTTCACAGTTCGTTTTTTTACATTATATTATGTTATGTTAAATTATGCTTATAATTATATTTTATAATTATTTTAATGCCTTTTAAAATATATTTTTATTGATTTCAGAGGGAAAGGGAGAGGGAGAGAGACATAGAAACATTAATGATGAGAGAGAACCTGATTGGCTGCCTCCTGAACGCCCGCAACTGGGGATCGAGCCTGAAACCTGGGCATGTGCCCTTGCCTGGAATGGAACCTGGGACCCTTCAGTCCCCAGGCTGACGTTCTATCCATTGAACCAAACCAGTTAGGGCTCAATACCTTTTTTTAGGGGCTTTCTTGACTCAAAAGAATTGTGAAAAATCCTATTTTCAGAGTAGTTGGGAGTATTACGAGTATACTTGCTGCAGTTTCAGGAAGTGAGGACAATTGCTAGAGATGACGGTCCATTTATCTGACACAATGGCAAGGCAAAGTTCACGGGGAGTGAGGGATAAGATAAAAAGGGAGGCTTGTTATTTTTTGTTTATTGGTTATGTTAATCTGAGTTTCTGAGTCCTGCTGTCAAAAACTCAAGTTCACAATTGTATGAATACATTCTTGTTTTAAAAGTTTCAACTAGGTATGAATATAATCAAACATGAAGATCCTATTTAACCACTCCCCCCTGTCAATTCTCACTCACTCCATTCCCCAGAAATAACTACTGTTCGCAGTTTGATGTTTGTGCACTTCTATGCAGTTACATATAAAAATATATATCTCCAACAATAAGGACACAGTTAGATGAAGTAGAATATATCCATTCTGTGGAATACTACATAGACGTTTAAAAACCAAACAAAAGATAGCCACAGGATCCTGATCTGTAATGAGCTCCAGAGCATATTGCCTTCTCATTCGTTCATGGTAGGATGGCTATGCAATGATCTATTTGCTCATTTTACTGCCAATACCATTTAGGTTATTTCTGATACAAAAAACAGAACAAAACACAAACCCTGCAATATCCTAGAACATGCCTTGTCAGGCCCCATGTGACCATTTCTCTAGTACAGTGAAATGGAAGTGGAATGACAGGTTCAAAGGATATTTGCATTTAATAATTGAATAGAATGTGTCAAGCTGTCTTTTAAACGTCTTTACCATTTTTATATTCCTTCCCATTGTGTTTCCGCATATCCTCCTATTCACCAGTGAACCTTACTTTGGATGTTAATCTGTCTCTTTAATTGTTGCTGGCACACAGACAAAGGGAGGAATTGGGAATCTCATTGTCTAATTTGTATTTCTCCAAGTTTAGTGGAATAGAGCATCTTTTATGTTTATTGGCCATTTGTATATTTTTGTATATTTCTCATTGTTCCAATGACTTATTATATATGAGTATTTGTGCTTTTCTTATTGATTGTAGGAACTCATTATATCTCCCAGATATTAATCTTTAGGTAGCATGCAATTTGCAAAATATTTTCCCGTTTCTCTCTTGAATTTTAACTGTGATTGCTTGTTTCCAGCAAGTTAAAAGTAATGCTGTCTACTGTTTTCAAATTCTTCAAAATATTACTATTAATTCTAACAACATAGAAGCTGAGAAAAAGGTGAGATGCTTTCTTTTCAACTAAAATACTTTTGCTGTTATTTTCTGTTGATTGAGAGGCAACTGTCTTTTCTAACGGATTAAAAGATGAGCTTTTTTTAAATAAGGGATTAAGTAGTAGCATGGAATGGTAAAAGTAGAAGAGCTTTTAAGTTTCTCTTAATTATTTTGTTTGTTACTGTACAGAACATCAGATAGGACCATGTGCAAATGTGTGAACAAAAATGACATTCTACTGCCAAATAGAAAATACTCTTGGATTGTCTATCATTAAATAGGATTCATATTACATCTTAGCTCACAATGTCCAGGTTGTTTTTAAAAATGACTTTGAAAAACTAGTTTGAGCTTTAAAACCAATACTCAATCATTTCCATGAAAATCCCAACTAATGCTAAGTAAAAAGAAAAATTGCTATCTTTATTTCACCTTTCTTTTTTTAGAAAATATATTTCTTATGTTATCAATCTCTTATGTTGTTTATGAAACACACAAACAAAAAAATCTACATGATATTGTAAATTTAAAGAATAAGTTTGTATTTGGACAAAAGAGAAAAAGCAGTGAGTATCATTTATTCATTTGGTAGTATCAAGGAATGTATAACAAAGAGCATGATAGAACCATGTTTGCCCGCTATGGATAAGTCTATTGAAGAAGATAGATAATTAGTGATATTTGCAAATGTATATTTCTATTAGTTATGGTAAAAAAAAGAATACATAAGATCTTTTAAAATGTTTGAAGACCTTATCCAGGGTGATATTAAAAATATGTAGTAATAATCAGCAATACCATCAACCAATCAAAACAGACAGAAGCTGGTCAGCCACATCAAATACTGGCTGAACTTTAGCCCTGGTTATATTAATTTAGGGATTTCCACTAATAGTAAGTGGAATGATAGCTGGTGTAAAAACAGTCATTCTACATAAGTCTCTTTTTAAGTTGTTGTTCACAGATGCAAAGCTATTTAAAAACATACATATATAGAATGAGAAAAATTCAGCTAGATTTTAAATATATATATATCCAACATTTTAAAAAAAATCTTCACTAGAGTTGGGGGGAAGAGAGAGAGAGAGAGAGAGAGAGAGGTTAGGGGTCAAACCTGCAACCCAGGTATGTGCCCTGACTGGGAATTGAACTGGTAACCTTTCAGTGCACAGAACAACACTCAACAAATTGAGCCACTCCAGCTGGGCATACATTTTTGGTATTTTTCATTTCTTAATTTTTAGTAGATTTATTTTGTAAAGTTTTATTATTATTTTGAATTGATAATATGTTCACATGATTAAAAATATCAAAAAGTATGAAAAGCTATTCAGAAAAAAGAGTCTCTTCCACCCTGCCACAGACTCACAGTTGCCCCTTTTCTCATGAATCCTTCCAGAGACATTATATATATTTTTTTCTGCTTTGGTTAATAAATATCTTTAGGTTGAAGCTTGTAGACCAACACAGAAAAGAACTGGTGACCAACTAAGGTAACAAAAACAGTAAGAAATAGACCTTTATGCTAGTTTTAGTGCAAAGGACTGAATGTTTGTGTTCCCCCAAACCCCAAATTCATATGTTGAAACCTACCCCCCAAGATGATGGTATTAGGAGGTGGGGCCTTTGAGAGGTGATTAGGTCATGAGGGTGGGGCTCCCATGAATGGGATGTGTCCTTATAAAAGAGGCCCCAGAGAGATTTCTCACTCCTTGAGCCATGTCAAGTTACAGTGAATAGGCAATAGACTATGAACCAGAAAGTGGGATCTCACTAGACAGTGAATTTGCAAGGGCCTTGATCTTGGACTTCCTAACCTTTAGAACTCTGAGAAATAAATTTTTGTTCTTTAAAAGCCTATGTATTTTATTATAGCAGTCTGAACAAATTATAATACTTAGGAAAATGAGTTTTAGTAACTCATAGGAAAGGACATACTATCAACTGTTATATTCTGGGTTAAAGATGTCCCTTAAGGAAGAAGGCTTTGTATGCTTTAAAAATGGAATATTTCAAGTTTATTACATATATCAAGAGTTAAAGAGCCTGGCCCATGTGGCTCAGTGGAGTGTTGTTCCATGCACCAAGAAGGTCGATGGCTCAATTCCCAGTCCAGGCACATGCCAGGTTGTGGGCTCGATTCTCAATAAGCCCAGGATGTGAGGTAGGCAGCCGATTGATATTTCTTTCTCATTGATGTTTCTATCTCTCCCTTCCTTACTCTCTAAAATCAATAAAAACATATTAAAAAATAAAAGATTGCCCTAACTGGTTTGGCTCAGTGGAGAGAGCATTGGCCTGCGGATTGAAAGGTCTTAGGTTCTGTTCCGGTCAACGACATGTACCTTGGTTACGGGCACACCCCCAGTAGGAGGTGTGCAGGAGGCAGCTGATCAATGTTTCTCTCTCGTAGATGTTTCTAACTCTCTATCCCTCTCCTTTTCCTCTCTGTAAAAAAATCAATAAAATGTATTTTAAAAAAATAAGAGATTAAGTATTTTAAAAAAAAGAATTAAAGAAATCCAAGTATAGTTTTTAAAAGGAATCCTAATTTATTTTTAAAATTGAGATACAATTCACATGCCATAAAATTCAGTGTTTTGAGTGTACAATTCAGTAGTTTGTAGTATATTCACAAGGTTGTATAGCCGTAACTATCTAATTCCAGAACATTTTCATTACCCCAAAAAGAAATCTTGTACCCATTACAGTCAATCCCTCTTCCCCTTGTCCTCCAGCCCCTGGAAACCATTAACCTAATTTCTGACAACATGGATTTGCCTTCTGGACTCTTCATAGAAGTGGAATCATATACTATGTGGCCTCTGTATCTGGTTTCTTTCACTTAGCATACTATTTTTCAAGGTTCAACCATGTTGTACCATGTATCAGTACTTTATTGCATTTTCTTACCCTTGCTTTTTAAATTTTTGGTAAAATATACATGACATAAAATTTACTATTTAACCATTGTTAAGTGTAAAGTTTAGTAGCATTAAGTACATTCACATAGTTATGCAACCATCACTGGTATGCTTCTGCCGAACTTTCTCATCATCTCAAAATGAAAATCTGTTTACATTAAACAATAATTTCTCATCTTTTGGCAACCTCTCTTCTACTTTCTGTCTCTATGAATCTGACTACTCTACGTACTTCATCTAAGTAGAATCCTACAACAACATTTGTCTTCTTGAGCCTGGCTTATTTCACTTACCACAGTGCATTCATATTTCATGTTGTAGCTTGTATAAAATTTCCTTCTTTTTCAAGGCTGAATGATATTCCACTGTATGGATATACTACTACCTTTTGCTTAGTCATTCATAAGTCGATGGATATTTGGATGCTTATAGTTTTTTGCTACTATGAAGATTCATGTACAAATTTTTGCACGACCATATGTTTTCAATTCTCCTGGGTGGTAGAGACTATTAGATGGGACTGCAGAGTGATTTGATGAGTAATAAACATTGCCCAGAGATGGATACTTTGATCATGATCATGACTTTGTGTCTCTTTTAAGGAGAGAGTAAGAAAATCTTCATTTGTATGAAGGATAGTTGTATCTTGCCAGATAAAAGCATAAAGTTGTTCCTGTAACAACTTGAATAAGGGTGTATGTGGATGCTAAGTAGCCAAATGGTTGAACTGTGTTGGTTATTAAGCTATTATCTCTCAGATCCAAACTCACCTTTCTGTATTCTACTTGGTGAGTAGAGAAGGCTGGGTCTCTATAAATCGTATTTCTCCTTTGATAGCTGACTCCCTGTTAAATGTTGCCAATGGGGAAGAGGATACTAGAGGGAAACTAAGGTAGAAGAGCCTTACTCCTTTGTTTCCTTACTGTTCCTGGAAGCAGCATCCTATCTCTTGACCCTAGAAGCAGCAGTTAATTCCAGGGTCTAATTTTTTCCACACTCTCAGAACCATCACACTTCCTCAGATGTATAGGAATCAGCTAGTTGCTATCTACTTTGTTCCTCCGAAGTCTGGGTCCCCTATAGGGCTGGTCCCAACCCCACGGGGTCCTTCTTCTGAACTTCTGAGGTATCAGTAAAGCTGGAAAAAGCTATTTCCTGCAGTTCTATTTCCATGGCACTTCAATGTTCCCTTTTTGTCTTCTTTGTTTTCCAGTATTTGTTTAACCAGTTCTATTTATTTAATGTAATTATGTCTGGGCCCTGGCTGGGTAGCTCAGTTGGTTAGAGTGTCATCCCGATATGCCAAGGTTGCCAGAACATATAAGAAGCAACCAATGAATGCACAAATAAATGGAAGAGCAAATTGATGTTTGTCTTTCCCTTCCTCTTCCTCTCTAAAATCAATAAATAAAAAATTTAAAAACATTAATTATGTCCATTAAAATAACTGGTCTAATTTCTATTTTTCTGACAACCATAACTGATAAAGTACCAAAAAACTTCTCAGGCTATGAGCAATCATCACTGATTATCTTACATTTAAACTGAATTCTTTGGGCTCTATGATAACATAACATATTATACAAGTATATTTTATCTGTTTCAAATATAGAAGTAAGTATATTTTAAATGGTTACCCATTTTCCAAGTAGAGCTCTTCTTTCTTCAAATACCTACAATAAATTAAAAATAATGGAATGATTTCATAATTCATGGTTCAAAATTCCCATTACAAGAAAGATAGCATTAAAGTATCCATAAATAAGTAGTGTTTCCATTGTGTCAACTGAATATAAAAAGATTTCATTCTTGAGAGGGTACTTTGTTTTTAACCTGGGCAAGGTATCTTTTTTATCAGTTTCTGCATGTGGAATAATTCATCTTAAAGAAGTAATAATTTTACCCGGCCACATAGGAGAGGCAACCTATCAATGTTTTTCTCATCATCTCAAAATGAAAATCTGTTTACATTAAACAATAATTTTTTCTCTTTCTCTCCCTCCCTCTCTTTCCAAACTCAATAAACATATTCTTGGGTGAGAACTAAAAAAAAAAAAAAAAAAAAAAAAGTAATACTTTTTTTAAAGAGAAGAAATTAGAAAAGAATGAGCCATGACCAGTGTGACTTAGTTGGTTGAGCATCGTCCCATGCACTGAGAGGTCACCGGTTTGATTCCCAGACAGGGCACATGTCCCAGTTGCAAGCTTGATCCCCAGTAGGGAGTGTGCAGGAAGCAGCTGATCAATGTTTCTCTCTCATTGAAGTTTCTCTCCTTCTCCTTCTCTCTATCTTAAAAAAAAAACACCAATATAAATATATATATTTTTTAAAAGAATGAAACTGTAAAGTGAAATCAACATCAGAATTTGAAAGATGAAAAAACTGACAAAGAAAACACAGTAAAATGGAGATCTTCCCCCCAAATATTTCAGTATCAATTGTTTGAGAACTTATGAAGTTTATGAACGAGCAGCTCTATTTTTATGTCAGTGTACACACGTATTAGTAGGTTTAGGTGTACTTATTACGCATCTCTGTTCTTACAACTCAGTGTTTAACTGTATAGGTTTGTTGTTGTATAGTATTTAGGACAGAAATCATGTATTATTCATCTTTCCATCTCCAGTATAGAGTGTTATACACAGTATATCACAGGTACTCATGTTTAATGGATTAAATGAATGTGGCAATGAAAGTGACAATGAATATACTTATGGATATATTGGTATGTGTGAATTATTTAGCTATTGATGTAGAGGTGTTTTTCTGAGCATCAGTGACTAGTATATGTGTATCTGAATGAGTGAAGAAGGAAAAACTAATGTGAGAATGTCTGGCAGGAAACTATGGAGAGAGGAAACAAGAAAAAGTAATGAACAGATGTAAGTGTCTCTCTCACTCCCACACATGCACCCTGTCAGCTTTCAAAATTGGAATCATTTTGAAGGTTGCCAGATGGGAAGGGGTTTGGGAGGATGGATGAAAAAGGTAAAGGGATTAAGAAGTACAAATGGGTTGTTACAGAATAGTCATTTGAATGTAAAATAAACATAGGGAATATAGTCCATAATATTCTAATAACTATGTAGGATGTAAGGTTTATTTGGATGATCAGTTAGTAAGTGATATAATGTCTAATTAATGGGGTGTACACTTGAAACTAATATGTTACTGTATGTCAATTGTAATTGAAAAATAAAAAAATGATTTAAAATAAAAAAATTGGAATCAACGTTTTTCCCTTCTTCCTAGCACTACCTAAAGTCTCTGGCATTGCAAGAACTTTCCTACTAGAAGAGTAACTCAGGCCTATTTCTTCCCTTTTTGTAGAGGAGGACAAGGAGTTGGCTTTATGCTTCTAATGGATCATACTTTCCTTCCTTTTTTACTCTCAACTCTAGTTTCAAAGGGCATACAAAATGAGGACTGAAATAATTGGTTCAACCACAACCCCAAGGCCAGTGAAATGTCAGTTCTGCTCTTGGTTGGAGAATCTCATACATCACAGGTAGGCTTTCTTTGCACATTAAAGAAGAAAAAGGATGTCCTTCTCTCCTCCCCACTAATTCACTGCCACCTAAGCTACTAGGACTCTCAAATAAACTCAGAATTTCTAGGTGAAAAAAGAAGCGTACCTATAGAATACAGAAGATTCAAAAATCTGGATTCAAATATTTCCTGAATTCTTCTCCTCCCTCTAACCAAACCCAATCAGTCATCTATCACCCAAACCAAATTGTCAGCACCACCACTTTTCTGATGCCCAGTGACCTAACTCCTCCCAGCTCATATCCCATGTACAGTGCATGCTCCACTTGGTCTCTACAGGGTTTGCTATGGCTCTCTAGTTGTTTCTGTTCATTTTATCTTTCCATGTAGATTACAACCACTGTCTCTACATACTCCACAGGTTCTGTGGCAGGCCCTCCAAAAACACTTGCTAATTGAACAATAACAGCAAAAAGCTTCGAAAGTCATAGAATTTTAGTGCTCAGAGAAATCCTAGAGATATTTTTGCCCAATTTCCTTGTTTTATAGAGGTCAACCAGCGGCCCAAAGGGGGTTACACTTAGAGATTTTTAAAAATCACGGTTTCTACACTGTCTGTTCAGTTCAACTCTGTACTTGTTTCCTCCCTAGAACCTTGGTCTTCCCTGTTTTGACTTCCAGTTCGACATGCTCTGGGCTTTCAAAAGGAGGATGGGCTGACCATCATGGTGGCCAATGACAATCAGGAGCATTGGAAACAAAGGGGCACTGACTTGAAGGGGCCAGGAGAATCGGCAAGAAGTAGCAGAAAAGGAGTAGGGTGGGAGGTGGAGAGTGTTATTCAGGCTAAAACAATAGTTTTTAGAGGGCCAACCACCGAGCCTAAGCAGGGTCCAAGGGATAATGGAGGAAATAAAATGAAATAAAGATCCCTAAGAGAGTCACTTAAAATAGAGTCAGAGGCTATTAAGGACTGAGGCTTATGAACATCTTGTGCCTCAGTTCTCAGAGCTGCATTTATATTGCTAAAACTGTTGCTAAACTACCTCATGGCTGAGCTATAAGCATCCTGGAGTTGAAAACATCTTGGAACAATTGCTACTTGGACACATACACTAGTAGACTTTACTTACTTCCTTGTCGTTTCTGCTTCCCATTTACATATTGGAACTAACCAATCCCTGTGAACCTAGCCAGCAATCCTTTATTTGCATGAAAGAATTATATTTTGTGGATTTGTGTGTGTGTTTTTTCTTCTTCTTCTCCTCCTCCTCCTCCTCCTCCTCCTCCTCCTCCTCCTCCTCCTTCTTCTTCTTCTTCTTCTTCTTCTTTTAAATAAACCCTGCCTTTGCCTGCTCTCTCCAGGATGCAGTTTGGGTTGCTACCTGAATCTGTGCCTATCAGATTGCAATCTTTTTGCTTAAATAAATGCTTTTAGTTCAGCAATGTTTTTCATGCTAAAACAATGAGTCTTTAAAGGGCCAACGATCAAGTCTAAGCAGGGGTCAAGCAAATCCAGTTTTTTATCAAAAGGCATCTAGACCCAAGTAGAAACTGACGGGAGTGAATTGGGAGGGGAAACATTAAATGAGTTGAAATCTGGTTCTGACTCTACCCTTGACAAGAAATACAATTTGGGACAAATTAGTTAATTGTCAGGTCCTTAGTCAGAGTCTTATAATCTCTGGTTGGAGCAAGTCTTCATTTTGAAGATTTGCAATCATGTTCTGCATCGTAAAGAGCTGGAAAACAAAGTATCAATTCAAAATGGAAATATAAAAATGGATCTTCTTTCTTTGCAGAATATTTATAACACAATTTGCTTAGATCCTGCTGTTAAATCAAAATCCTATGTTGTTATTTCAGCCTATTGATACTATTTCACTGTGTGACATCATTACAGTGTGGGAATAAGAAATTTAGGGGCTCCTCAATGATGATTGATGGTAACTAGGCGCTTTTCTCAGAACACCCTTCTTTAAAAAAAAATTATTGATTTCAGAAAGGAAGGGAAGGGAGAGAGAGATAGAAACCTCAATGATCAGAATCATTGATTGGCTGCCTCCTGCACATCCCCCACTGGGAGTCGAGCCTGCAACCTGGGCATGTTCTCTGACCAGGAATTGAACCATGACCTCCTGGTTCATAGGCCAATGCTCAACCAATGAGCCACACTGGCTAGGCTCTCAGAACACCCTTTTAAAATGTACTGTACTACATCTGTGAGCCATACTCAAAAGGAATGTTGGTTACTTTCAATTCAAATACTAGATGGCCAAGAAATGCATATACTTTCAAAACATTCCTCCTCTCAAAATTCACAGTGCATGAATTATTTTGAAATCTGTTACATTTGTCTATGTTGATAACGTTGTTTTCCTAGGCATCTCAATTTGAATTCAATCTTTCTGCTTAAAGCTTGCAATGAAGTTAAAATCCTGTGACTCTTATTTTAGCCTGGAATAGTTACATATTTCACATTTTACTACAGAATAGAAGAAAATTAAAACAAAAAACAGGGCCTCAAAATTACACACTGATCATTGGTGACAAGTGCCCTGTTTTATAAATGTAGAAAACCCCTTGAAATTATTGTATGGACACTTTCACATCACCAGCTGTGAATATCACCCGAGGATATTTTTCCCATTGATTTGTGGGGGTTTTTAGAGAGACTGGAAGGGAGTGGGGGAGGAGAGGAGAAAGAGAGAGAGAGAGAAAGAGAGAGAGAGAGAAACATTGATGTGAGAGAGACACATAACTGGTTGCCACCTGCACACACTCTGATTGGGGCCAGGATCTAACCTGCAACCTAGGTAGTGCTCTTGACTGGGGATTGAACCCAAGATCCTTCGTTGCAAGGGCCAACGCTATAACCACTGACCCATGCCAGTCAGGGCTTGGCTTCTATTTTTAATTCCTTTCATGCAGTCAGAATGCTAGGCCTGAAAGGGATCTTCAAGGTCATCTGATCCAACCTAATCATTTCATAAAGGAGGACAGTAAAGACCAGAGAAGGTAAGGTGCTCCAGTCATGGGGGAAATTATTGGAGCAGCATTTCTTTTAGGTTCAGAGAGGCAAAGGGTCAAATCCAGCCTAAGGAAGGAGGGATACAGACACAAGAAGGTGAGAGTCAATGGAGGGAGCTTCTAGGGTGACCCCATGTCTTGTGCTTCAGGAACTATAGCAGCACTGGAGACAGAGAGAAAAGATAGAACCTCAACTCCTGACGCATTGGTCGGAAAAAGTGATGAGAGCAAAGAAAAGCAAGCAGGAAGAGGTTTCCCAGAGAAAATGATATTTGATTGACTCTCCCAGAAGGCAATGAGGAGAGTAATGCAAAGGTGTGGAGGTGTGAGAGATGGCTCACCTGGGGGCCACTCAGGTGGCCTGGATATAGGATGAGAGGAAGCTGTGGCAGGGGTTGGAACTGGGCGGCTGGCTGAGGCCAACTCATGAGGGGTCCTCCATGCTATGCATGGGTTTGGAATTTACCCTTCAGAGTGGGGCCTTTTATTAGTTTTACGTAACAGGATTAGATTAGTATTTTAGAAATGTTATTCTGGGATCAAAATAGAAAATGGATTAATAGGGACAGAGGCAGCGAAACCTGTTAGGGGGTTATTACAATACACCAGGCTAAGGGTATGAACTGAGAATGTGGAGCTGGAGATATATGTAAATGGAGAAAAGGAGCCTGGGTGATGAGCTCTAGGAGGAAGGCTCCTAGAACTTGAAAATGAATTGGATATGGAGGTGGAGGGGTGCTGGAAGACACGCCTCCCTGGGCCTCTCACACTCCTAAATGTCTTGGAATATCAAGAATGCAAAGCCCTGACCGCCATGTCTCCAAGTTTTGTTTATAGGAAGGCAAACTTGAGTAATGCAGTACTCTCTCCCTTTGGGACCAAGAGCAGGCCTGTTTACTATAAAAGCAGTGGGTTCTCTGGCCTCATAGCTCCTCAGCTGACACAAACCCAAGGTGTGTGTAGTATTTACCTGGGCCCTCTGCATCACTCCTGTCGGACAAGGCAGGCAAGGAGAACCGTCACAAACATGATGCCCATGCTTCACTGTGAGTGATAAAGGTCTTTGTCTCTGACCCCAGACTTTTGCATCTTTTACTGTGAAACTGTAGTGTCTTCTATGCCATAAATAACAGGCTAAGTTATTAGCTTGTAAATTGGGGGAAACCAAATTCCAGACCAACAGAGAGAAGGAAGAGGTCTGGCTTAAGTGACGGAGTGAAGTGGGACTTGGTGTTTCATGAGGGGAAGGAATTAATGTGTAGGAGCAGGATAATAAGGACAGTTTTGCTGCTTTTACTGCCAACTAGTGTGGTCCTTGTAATAGTAATAGTTGCTCCTAGAACAGGGGTGGGCAAACTTTTTGACTCAAGGGCCACAATGGGTTCTTAAATTGGACCGGAGGGCCAGAACAAAAGCATGGATGGAGTGTTTGTGTGAACTAATATAAATTCAAAGTAAACATCATTACATAAAAGGGTACGGTCTTTTTTTTCAATAGTTTCATTGTTCTAGGACAGCCGTAGTTTGCCCACGGCTGTCCTAGAACAATGAGGGGGTTAGGGATACTGACCCCCTACACAGTCGAAAATCCATGTATAAATGGACCTGCACAGTTCAAACACGTGCTGGTCAAGTCACCTGTACTGATAATAGGAGCTCACAGACCTGTTGGTAAATTCTGCCCCTACCTGAAGCAGGAACAGAAATCCCCAGAGATTGGCATGCCCCAATACCGGGCATGATATTCAGCTCCCCCCACCCCCTTGCAATCCTTTGTTTGGTGTATTCTAATAGTGCCTCCCCAGAATGCAAGTCATAAATAAGTTCTTAGGAGAAACTGAGTCATGTGCGTAATGGGATGAGATTTATTCATTTTATTTATTTGGTTAAATGTCCAGCATTATCCAGTAACTGCAAATGTAGCAAGAAAATGTGTTTTGGGGAAATTCTTCATAGACCACCCTCTCCTCTCTCATAGCCTACCCTCTCCTCTCTCATAGCCTACCCTCTCCTCTCTAGTGGTTCCAGCAGAGAACCAGTGATAGAAGAAAAAAAGCATTTGGAGTGAGAGAGAGGAGCAGTGACTAGAGCAGCCGTTCTCAACCTGTGAGTCGTGACCCCTTTGGCGGTCGAACGACCCTTTCACAGGGGTCGCCTAAGACCATCCTGCATATCAGATATTTACATTACGATTCATAACAGTAGCAACATTACAGTTATGAAGTAGCAACGAAAATAATTTTATGGTTGGGTTACAACATGAGGAACTGTATTTAAAGGGCCAGAAGGTTGAGAACCACTGGACTAGAGGAAAGAACAAATCTAAGAAATTTTCATCGCAGGTAGGGACTCTGTGTCTATTGCCAGCCTTGTCCACATAGCAAGGGCTCAATAAAAAATTATTGAAAAAAAGTCTTCATTTTTTTTCCATCCATTACATTCCTAAACAATTGGTATTCATATTTTGATATTCAAACTTTTAATTTATTTATTTATATTTTAATTGACTTTTTAAAAATATGTTTTATTGATTTCAGAGAAAAAGGGAAAGGGAGAGATAGAAACATCAATGATGAGAGAGAATCATTGATTGGCTGTCTCCTGCACGCCCCCTACGGGGGATCAAGCCTGCACCCTGGGCATGTGCCCCTGACTGGAATTGAACCCAGGACCCTTCAGTCCACCAGTCCACAGGCTGATGCTCTATCCACTGAGCAAAACCAGCTAGGGCCATCCTGAGCTACCTGGCCAGGGCAATACTTTTTTCCCCCTTTGAGGCATGAATGCAACTAATAAAATAGCTCTGGTAACTTACCCGATCGATCATTCAAAAGCTTATGGTTTAAGGGTGTCCAGGTACTCATCTTTGTCTGCATTTTGGGACCATCCGTGCTCTTTGGAGGTGCAAATGCCATCATGAAATAACTGGGTATTCTTCTATAAGAAAAACTATACCTATCAGAAGAAATGAAACATATCTTCTCACACTACTAAAAATACCAATACCATACAATCTTTTAGTACATTGAGAGAAGGGATTGAAGGGAAGAACACTTGCTGGGAGCACTTTCTATGTATGCTCAATTGAAGTTCATAACAATCTAAAGTTCATTACACGCTCTGCCCAAAATTATACAGACTGGAACTGGAAATCAGACTCAAGTCTATTCAACTCTATTTTCATTGGACCACAGAGGGAAATCAAGAATCACTCCTAGCTAAGAATATACCATATTGGCTTGGAAAGAAGAGGTATTGTAATTTATAAAATCATAGTGCAATATGAAACACTCCACCCTTGTCCCGTGTGACTGTCTACCTCTCCTTTTAACTTTCTGACATCTAAATAACAAGGGTTCTACCTTGATACCATATTTAAGAAGTCGAGTGATGTAATATACAACACTAAGCATTTGGAGATGGACCGTTTTGAGTTTATTGAGGGAAATGTGCTGTTTTTCAATGCCCAGTATATATTTGCCTTCATTTGATGAAAGCACTATAATTTCCATGAGGAATTCCCTTTCCCTCATTGTTTAGAGTTTGCTGGGTTGGTTAATCAAAGTGGCCTCCCGTTCCCTGGTTACAAGACGGAGCTAGGCCAGTTGAGATTGATGCTGGCTTATCCTTACTCTACAGCAGAGGTGGGCATTCAAAGTAGCACTGGTACTCTGCTAGGCTGTTCCTGCTGCCTCATCCCTCAGAAGCCTCCGGCCTTGTCCATTTCGTGAGCCACATGACATCCTTGCAATAAACTTCCTCTTTTGCTTACATTAGCTAGGATCTGTTTCTATTATTTACAACCAAAAATGTTTACATCGTATGGGTTTGATCCTGGTTCTACAACTTAGTAACTGTATAACTTTTTGCAAGTTATTTAATCTACCTGAGCTTCAGTTTCCTCATTTGTCAAATAAGACTATATATATATGTCTACACCAGGGGTGTGGGCCTTTTTTTCTGCCAAGGGCCATTTGGATATTTATTTTATTTTTTAAAAATACATTTTAATTTATTTTTAAAAATACATTTTTATTTATTAGGGAGAGGGAGAGAGAGAAGAAACAGCAATGATGAGAGAGAATCATTGATCAGCTGCCTCCTGCATGCTCCCTACCAGGCATGTTCCCTTGACTGGAATCGAACCTGGGACCTTTCAGTCTGTAGGCCAATGCTCTATCCACTGAGCCAAACCAGGTAGGGCTGGATACTTATAATATCATTTGTGGGCCATACAAAATGATTGACTTAAAAATTAGCCTGCTATATTTGGTCAAACATTTAATGAACTCACCCCTAATGCCTTAGCAGGGCCAGACCAAATGATTTCACGGGCCTTATATGGCCCTTGGACTGGGCATTCCCCACCCGTGATCTATATTCAACTGCCTCTGTGAATATTACAGAATAAGGATCCAGCAGACTGCCTGACAGACAGATAGGTGGCCTCAATAAGTAGTGACATCCTTGCAGTCTTTCTTAGAACTTCCTATCATTCACAATCGCTCATAGAGTGCCTAAATACCTGTCCTTTAGAGGGCCATGACCAAATATTTTAAGGTGGAAAACAGTTACAGCAGATTGATGCTAGTGTCAATGTATATCCTCCATGTTTCCGCCCTCCTTCCTCTCTGAAGGTGGGCTTCATGTTGAAAGGCAGTGGTGATGACTAAAGGGATCAGGGCTTGTCTGTCTGATCTATGGGTTCTGAAAATTATTCTATAGCAGCAAATATTGGACAATTAAAAAACAACAACAATCATTTATTTTAGGCTTATATGGAGTTCCCCCAAATGTTAGATCTGAAATTTTTGAGGCTTTCACTAGACATGTAATACTATCTCTCAGGTTAAGTTGTAGGTGAAGATAAAGCCAATGTTTTCAAACCTCAGTGGTGTCATTAGACAATACCTTCCTGCAGTTACCTGCTGCCATCATACCACTGGGTCAAAGGGGACTCAGATCAACCCTCACGTCCTTCTCAGCCCCCTAACAGCCAATTGTCTAAGTCACTCCTATTTGGCTAAGTTGCAAAAGGCATAAGAAATGACTTCATTGCAGTATTTTTAATTGGCAGCTATAAAAGTACATGTGAGTAGGCAAATTACAGATACAAAGCATGGTCACCAAGTCTAGATCTGCCTAGTTAAAAACTACGTATTTCTTTTTTGTCATTGTTGCTATTTATATACATTTGACCTTCCTTCTTATTAAACCAGGTGTCTTTAATTTTTCTTTGAGGGTCAAATAACTCTTTGAGAATGTGATGAAAGCGATGAATTTTCTCCCTAGAAAAATGCACATGAACATAAAATTTTGCTTATCCCAGGTTAAAAACTCCTGCTGTAAGCCAAGAAACTCTCTCTCTTCCCACTTTGTATAGGAAAAAAGCTAGGCAAAAATTTTGAATTAGGACAAAGGAGCTTTTCTAGGATCTCCCCAAGGCCCCACACTGATTGTTTTTTTCCCCTGGTTCCTCAAAACTAGAAATTATTTGAACAAGGCTTTCTTCAAATCAGCCTGAGGGAAATTGGTATTCAGGAGGTGGGCCTGGCCAGGAGAAACAGCCCTCTTGGTAATACAGTCCTGATGAAGCATGAAAATGGGGTGTCCTACCCTGTCTTTTGTCATCATTCTTTCACAATTTTCCTCCTCTCTTCATACCAGAAAATAGGCAGTGTGCATATCTGCATGTACACACATGTTCACGGTATAGACCACTCAGGGCTATTATAAAGACAGTCGCTTTTAGATAACATACACAAAAATAATTGCACCCACTCCATCAACAAGACAAAGCAAGTTTTTTCCCTCTCCTTCCACATCTAAAGCTTGCTGGTGCTATTTTTGTGACCTCTTTCCTCCTTCATGGCTGTTCCTGAATGTTTACTTTTAATTTTTCCTTGGAAAAAAAAGGAAGAAAGAGGACCTATGGCCTTAGCCCCCAACGTATGGTTCTATTTCCATGTTTAACAGCAAGGATGGATCCTCCTGTAAAGTTCCAGGGGCCACACATCTCTAATTCCATCTTCCAAGTCATTTTTCATACTGTCACCATTACTCAACTTTGCTTAGGACCTGTTAGGCCTGTATTAGAGGTACAAAGGTATGAGTTTCTACTTTAATGGAGCTTATAGTCCACTATTAGAGAGTTTCCTCTTTGACAAATAAAAATCATATATATTTGAAGTATACAAGGTGATGTTTTGGTATATGTATACATTGTGAAATGAACACTCAAACTATTTAATTATTACCATGTTAATTTTCTCAGTATGAAGTAGGTGTGTGTGTGTGTGTGTGTGTGTTCCGAACACTTAAGATCTACTCTCTTAGTAAATTTCAAGCATACATTATATTACCTATAGTCACCATGCTGTCATTAGGTCTCCAGAACTTATTCATCTTATAACTGAAAGCTTGTACCCTTTGATCAATATTTCCCCTCTCTCCACACCCTCCCCACATCCCCACCCCGCCATACACACACACACACACACACACACACCCCCCACCCCGCCATACACACCCACCCACACACACACACACACACACACACACACCCATACACACACTCCATTCCACCTCTGGTGACCACCATTCTACTTAGGGAGGGTTTTTTTGTTTTGTTTATTTGTGTGTGTTTTTAAAGGCAAGTTATTTAATCATGTCCCTTTTCAGCTCAAAAACCTTCAGAGGCTTGCTAATGGATACAGAATATCCAGATTTCTTAGCATGCAAGTCTAGGTCCACTATGAATTTACCTCAATCTACCTTTTGAGCTTCATTCTCCTGTCTCTCCCTTCATACACTATCTGCCCAGATGCACGAACTTCCAATCCCTCTGAGAAAACAATATGAAATTTTGATGTTTGATGTTTGCTTATGTGGTTCTCCAAGATTGTTCACTTGAATCTTAATCTCATAGTACATAATAAATGCTCAATAAATATTTGTTAAATCAGCTGAGTGAATGAATGCAACAGTGGAGGGCACAGTTTAAGGATTAAAACTAGTGAAAATATAGGGTGAAACTCAGAATATTATGAACTGAGCGCTGGGATTATACTCAGGATTATCACGTTTTTATTTGGAGTTGACAGAGCAGAACAGAATTGAGTTTCTCTGCTAACACACAAGTCACTCATTGTGTACACGGCAGTATCATTAGAGAAGGGAACCTCAGATATTATCAGGAAAGTATCAGGCAATAGGATATGGTTAGATTTAAATACTAATTCATCTTATAGTCAACTAATTAGAAAGCAAAAACCGTAATACAATAAAAAAGAGCTGGTTCTTGATAGGCAAAGAAATTATTATTTGTTGTTAATTTTCTCAGTATGAAGCATCTGGCATTTTAACTGCAGCTGAAACGGAGCAAAATGCAATCCCCAGGGGCACTGACAAGGCTTGTGAGAGGCCCAGGCGGACCTGCGAGTGGAGCTCTGCAAAGAGTCTCCATCTTTTCCATGCACTACCCACGGCCTCACCTCTTTTAGCTGGACTCCCTCATCAGGCCTCAAGCGCTGGTGTTGCCATAGCTGCTTTTTTTCTTTGACTTTGCCCAGCCCCCACCCTCCAGCTTCCATTAGTCCAATCATCATCTATAAATCCTTTCGCTGGCATCCGGGGTCTCTTAGGCAACAATGTGTGGTCTCTTGATTGGCCAGGAGATCCAGGAGGGCTGGCTCCAAAATTAGGCACAGGGATACAACGAAAAAGTGAGAGTGCCAAGAAGGTGGGAGGGGGTGCCATCTCCCAATATAATGCAGAGAAAGATAGATGCAGCCAATTCCGGAAACAAGCGGCATTGAAAGCTCTCATTCAAGACACATTTGTTTCCCAAATCAGGCCAACCTCCTGAACATGCCCAATTACATTGCTCTGGTCACTCCGAGGCTCCGAAATATAAACTCCGTTTTTCCGGGTTTTAAGAGTGGCCAACAGGTAAAAGAGGGTTGGAAGAAAAAGAATTCCCGACTGGCTCAATACAGAATGGCACCTACGACAGGAAGTGGAAGGACGTGGGAAAATTGCCTAACACACAAACTCACAAATGCTTCAGGAGGAATGTTAATTGATCGGATTATTAAAGGAATTCAGGCTGCCTGACAGATACGTCCCGGAACCAGCAGATGGCATGCCTTAATAAGAATAATTCCAAACGTGGGAAATTTTACAATTCGGTCTAATTTAATTAAATGTTTTGAGCACCCACCATGTAATCAGGGGCAGAGTGAGAATGCAAGGATAAAAAAAGAATCTAATGAGGAAGACTGGAAAATACAAAGGGTAAATAATGTGAGGCCCCCAGTGATAATTACTGTGATGGAACTGCCAGTATAAAGTGCTGGACAATCACCCAAAATTCAAAATTTCTGGACGGAGCTCCTTAGTAAATGTAAAGGAATTCTTATGCACAGCAGCTAACAAAAACAAAACAAGAACTCCCCCCCCCCCAAAGCAAAAAGGACTTTCCTCACTAAAATAGATAAGAATATACTCTCCCCCAACATAAACAACTGTAAACCCTATGTTTGCATTGTGTTTCACAGTTTTAAAATAGGCAGTATTTGTATATCTCTAATTTAAACAGAAACCAAAACACGAAGCTCATAAAGATGGATTCCTTTGAGTTAACTAAGGACCTGTAAGTGGCCAAACTGAAATTAGAACCTAGGTTGTCTGAATTCCAGACTAGTGGTTTTTTTTCACATGACCAGGTTGTATGTATATGAATAAACAAAGCCTTAGGTGGTGGAGGGTGGCCTAGGGGAGGTATGTAAATGCAGCACTAAATTACCAGTTAACATTTATGGTTTCAAAACGAGTTCATCCAGAAAGAGACCAGTTTTAACATCATACTGTGAGAGAGCTGTCTCTCTGTGAAGTGCCCGCTCATTAAAGCCTCTCTATTGGTGGTTACAACATGGAATGAAAGAGAGATGGGATAAAAGAGACCACCGCACTTTATCCCTGTTGGATTTTAAGATTTTTATCCCTGAAAATAAGGTTCCTTTAGTCTATCCTCTTAACTAGTACCCTCTGATACTCCCCTTCTCTAGCATCTCATCAGTCTAACTGTTAATCCCCTCTCCCCTCCCCACAGCCTGACACCATTTACCCTGTCCTCATAGTAAGCACACCAGCTCAATGTCCAAAATACTTTAACATTACTCGTAAATGAAATATTTCAAACATAAAGCTTAGAGATTTGCATAAGAAAAACCCTTGTAGTCCCACCAAGATTAAAAAAATATATATATTAACATTTTTGTTTCCTGTGTGTGATTAATAGTTGACACCTTTTTTTGTACACTTTCCAGATCTCATTCCCCTCCTGGCTTGCCCTAGAGGGCAACACTGAGAAATTGGTGTGTAACCTACTTGTCCATTTTTTAATACTATATACATACATATATATCCTCATAAACAATATGGCTAGGTGTAATATAAACAGGTAAACTAATTTACATAGCTTGTAATTTGCTTGTTTCACTGTTATATTTCTGAGATTTAGTCATGTTGATACATTTAGTGATAATTTCTACATCTTTTCTACCTCCCCTTGTGAACTATGATATGTCCTACCCCTGACAGTTTTCAAAGGACACTGTAAATTGCATAGAAATTCATATAGCTGCACATCTCCACAGGCTCTGCAAATACAAGGAATCTTGAAATATAGTGTGTCCCAAAAATATATACACACACACTTTGAATAATAATAAATGCAGTGTTTTATTAGAATACACGTCATTTTCAAAATTTAGCTATCAGCTGTTAAAGTGTGTACACATTTTTGGGGCATACCCTGTGTATAAAGCAGGCACACACAGTTTTTCACATATGATATTTGCCTCCTAATGACCTTCAGTAAAGGCAGTGTTGGCTCCACAAGACACATTGGCTTGCTTATAAGCAGCCTAAGGACCAACATTATATATTTTAAATGGTACTGCACAAGAATGTGCTTATTAGGAAAATTGAAAATGTCATTTATATCTCATTTTTTATGCTTTCCCCCAAAACTCACGTTTTTAGTTTTTTTTGTTTCTTAATCCTCACCAAAGGATATTTCCCCATTGATTTTTAGAGGAGTGTAAGGGAGGGGGGAGAGATAGAGATAGAGATAGAGAGAGAGAGAGAGAGAGAGAGAGAGAGAAACATCACAGGCGCTGCAGGGCCAGGATTGAGACAGCCTGCAACCAAGGCATGTGCCCTTGACCTGAATGGATCCTGGGACCTTCAGTCCGAAGGCCAATGCTCTGTCCACTGAGCCAAACCGGTTAGAACCCATAGCTCATCTTGTGATGTTAAACTATACTTATGGCTGTCTAAGCTTAGTAGTCAATATTTATTTAACATTTATTGAGTTGTGGTAAAATATACGTAACATACAATTTACCATTTTAACCATTTTTAAGTGTGCATTTGGGTAGTGTTCGGGACATTCGCATTCCTGTGTTACCAAGAGAACAAAATGATGCCTCTGAAGTCAGGTAGAAAGGGACGAAAAGGAAGAGCAAGAACGGTGGGTACAAGAACAGCTTTAGCCTTGAATGAACGTAGACCGTCGCGCAGACGCTGCGTGGCTTTGGGCGAGTCATTTAATCTTCCTGGGCGTTTTTCCTCGGCTGAAAAACGAGGTTGGGTTTAGATGATCTCTAAGGACATGTTTAGCCCTAAAATTGTTTATGTAGAAAAAGAGAAGGGAAGCATTTTCTAAGGAGCAAAAAGGTGGGGAGTGCGGTCAATACCCACAATTTGCACCTGTTCCCGAAGGTCTGGGCAGAGAGGCTCTGTACCCTGCCAGGTGCCCTGCCTGCTGCTGTCGGCGTGGAGCTCTGCACCATGCCCGTTGCCGACCTCTCCCTGCGCGCAGTGCCACCCGGAGCACTCGGGGACCTGCCTCTCGACCACCTCCAATGCCCGGCTCCCACGCTCCCACTTTCGCTCTCAGAGTAGGTTTTGGCGGTCTTGCCATACCAGCATCATAGGCTTGGGGTGATGAGAGTCCCCGCGCCGTCTCAGCCGGAGAGGGGAGGAGAGCTTTGCAAAGAGGGCTGAGCGCATTTAACACCGACGCTTGCAGAGCCGTGAACGACTCTGCGGGCCTAGCCCGGCGCGAGGAAACACCCAAGGCGCGAGGAAACACCCAAGGCGCGGGGCGGAGACCGCGGTTGCCCGCTCCTCTCTTACCCTTTCGCTGAGGAGCCACCAGCGGCCCCGCCACCTCCTCCTCCTCCTCTGGGATCGTGATTCTCGTCGCGGCCAAAACAAAAGCTTTCCGCGCCGGGCTGAGGCTGGGGGTCGGACAGG